TTGGTTGAGGGGGACAATCCTACAATAGACGTGGAAGTAAATCAAAAAGTGGAATCGATCATGTTCCCGATGTGGCTACCATTTCCTGAATCGGAATTTAAATCTTCAGCGGTTGTTATAAAATGTTTACTTGTATCCGCTTGTACTTTTATGTACATAGTTTTCTGTATGATCTTTCTTGCACTAATGATTTATTGTGTTTGGTTATTGAAAATGCAACAGGCGAAAATTCATAAGTGCAACTGGGACTCGTATGACATGGCAGCAAATCCATCTGCTGATATGACGGCTCTTATTATAAACAACCTGCGTGTATTTGGGTAAGGCTCAATGAACATCATCTTATAATTTTTAGCTGAACCTACAAAGTAAAATTACTTCTTGTTTCTAGATTTATTGAGCATGTAGATAAATCTGTTAGATATGCTATTTTGGTCGATGTTCTCCTGAATTCCATCAATATTGCATCTCTTGCGACGTATGGATCGACTGTAAGTTTAAAAATTAGGCCTGGGTTACTCAGTAAATTTTTAGGAGTTGGCGCGGGGCTGCGCAAACGGCTTGGTGCTCCAACCCAAAGCACCGGCGCAGTAACTCGGTTCAATTGCTGGGAAAAAATGTTATGAATTTATTTTAACATTGTATATACTTTCCTCACTGTGTTTCAATTCCAATTCTTGGGTTTCAGTCATTTATTGTATTTCTCCTTTGGAGTAAATACTTCAAATGTTTGCCAAGGCTTAAATGATGGTGGAAAATTTAACGTCAGTATTTAAATACTGGCAATATTGAGGCATTTTCTGCGAAAAATTATAAAATCTATTTTATTAGAACATTCGTCTTCTTCGAATTTGTGACAAAAATAAAATATTTTTTTTTTTATCAAAAAACAAACAGAATAAAAGAACGCTTTTAATAAATTATTTGAAGTCTATAGAGTTTGTCAACAAATTGTGGTTTTTTAGTTTTGACTTAATTTTTTACTTGCCTTACTTTTTACTCAAGAAACGCTTTATTTTGAAGACTTTCAAAAAATTACAATAAAAATTGATATCTTTGTAGGAATTTTACAAAAACATTTTCATTGTCAAATTGAAATTTGTCGGAACGAAAAATAAAATTAATATCTGCAGTTTTTTTTCGAAAATCGTTAAAGTTTTCTCAAAAATGGAATCCAAATACAAAAGTTTTGACTCAAAGGGCAAAGAAGCCGGTGTTTTCTCATGCCTTTCTGACAATCATGGGTCCTTTTCAGCAAAACATTACAGAATACATTTAAATAGAAACTTAGCGTCATTCATCGCTTCGTAGGGGTTTTAGAAAACTCTTTTCAGCTTCGAATTTGGAACAAAATGCAATATACTTATATAGATAAAGTTATAGCTTTGTAGGAATTTGACAAACATTTTTCAGTGACGAATTCAGGACAAAAACGAAAATAACTTTAACCCTTTTTTTTCCAAAAATTTTTAAGGTTTTCTCAAAAAACTAAAAGTTCCGGTTTTCCCGTTTCTGACTAAATATTTTCAGCAAATCGCTTCTAAATAACCTCGGTGAATTGTTAAGATTTAGCACAGTGCTTCGCAAGTGGCTTGATGCGCCAGCCCGACGCCTTGGCGCAGTAACTTAGTTCCGTTGTTGGTAACACTTTACCCATAAAAAATGTTGATGTTTTGTTTTTAGATGTTAAAATACCAGTCTCGATCATCGGTAAATGAGGAAAAACTCAACACAATGTTACCCAGGTGTATTGAGAATACACGTTTTGTAAATAACAAATTATTTGTTTCCAACGGGGATTTTAATTTCATTGAATCAAAATACAAAAGTATCAAGCACACTTCTTCCGTTCTTAAATTTTTATACGACTCGAAAATGTTCTTTCTTATTTTTTTGTATATTGTCTTTCCTTGGGTTATGTTAAAGTAATTTACAGTAAACATACATTTACGAGATAATCAACATACCCACACAACCCCCGTACAACATACCCAACTTACCTTCAGTACACCTCCTTTAGAGAACAAGTTAAACCTAAGAAAGACTGACATAGACAAAGTGAAACAACATATACATGACTACATTCAATCGCAAGCACAGCCCATTTCAATAGAAACTATACAAGAACAACTTTCACTAGCGATAAGAAAATTTAGCCCGGAAATTAAAAAAAATTTCTACCGACATACACTACCCAAATTCATACTGAGATTCATAAAACAAAAGAGAGAACTGTATAGACTATATACATACACTCAAAATAACGACCTAAAAAAGCCACTGAACCAACTCAACAGAAATATTAAAACTTTGATTGAACAATACTGACAAGACAAATGGCTAGAAACATGTAAGGAAGACAAAAAAAACTTACACTACTGACACAATTGACGACAACGGAATAGAACGTTACACACACAAAGAGAAAGCTGACGCATTCGCCGGACACTATCAAAAGGCCTTCAGCATATCGACAAATCCTAACTTCGACAATGACAACTGGAACATGATCAACGACTGGTACTTGAACTACTTTAACAACTCACCAAACTATACTTACAAAACTAATCACAGACAAAACACAGCACCGCGAAAAGACAAAACTGCTGAAAAGCTTAACCCAAGAAACTCACAACTCATCCTTACTGAAATCAACAACTGCATCAGAAATAACAAAATTCTGAAAACATGGAAAAGTGGCGTAATAATTAATATACCTAAAAATGGACGAGACGGTACACAACTGGAAAACTACAGACCCATTACATTACTCCCTGCGCTGTGCAAAGTTTTGGAACACATACTTAAACAGAGACTCGAAGAACTGATCGGAAAACATATACCCATCTACCAATTCGGCTTCAAACAATATCACTCGACTATTCAAACAACTCACCTAACTGACGGAAAGCCGGCATGTCTACTCATGGACATCAACAGGGCTTTTGATAGTGTCTGGTATAGGGGCTTACTATACAAGCTCCACACACCACCATATCTACTACACACCATAAAGAACTTATCAGAAAACAGACAACAACAAGTACGAATTGACAATACACTATCCATTACTTTTTCCCCTGAACAAAGGACTCCCGCCCGCAAGGATCCCCGCTCTCACCCTTTCTCTACAGTACATACTGCCATGACATATACAATTACAACTTACCAGACAAAAATCAAATCGACAGAACGGCATACTTATTACAATACGCTGACGACACGGCACTTATTGTACACGACAAAACTACTGAAAAAGCGACTGAAAGAATCCAAACACTAACAAACAACACAATGACATGGATACTATAAATGGAGACTAACGTCAAACGCGACAAAAAACAACAACTTCTGCTCACGAACCACAGACTCAACGCCGACTCCCCTGCGTGGTTTTAAGTAATAATTCTAATAAATGCTGGGGATTAAACGTTTTAGATTAAGATCAACAGCTACCAGCGGCCTTAAAAAACAAGTTATGCCCATTATATTGAAGTTCAATTAGAACCGATAGTTTATTCCAGCAAATTTAACCTACTTAGCTCTAATTCGAAACTGGGTGAGGTACTTAATGAAATTTGCTTTTCTTGTGCAACACTCCTTATCAAAATGCATACCATTGCACCAGCTGAGCTCTGCGCGTTCCCCCACCACGAAATGCCTCGACGTTAGCTCCATTTCCACTTTTCAATTGCGATCGATGCCCCAGTATTGTCTGTGGTTAGGAAAGTGCGGAACCGGCCAAACACGGCCAAACGACACACCCGAAAAACGACGTAAGGTACCTTGGGATTACAATCGACCACAAACTCAAATTCAGTAAACACACACGAAACATCGGAACAAAAACGATAAAAAGAACAAAACACTTTCGATCACTAATATACAAAGACAAAGAAATTAGTAAAAATACCGCGACAAAAATATACAAAGCGGTCTGCAGACCCCTCTTGGACAACGAACATATACTCATGGCCAGCGGAACAGAAAGGACAAAATGATACGTACAAACAACAGAACAAATTGCACTAAGACTAATAACACAAATAAAACACCCCCAAAACCCACTGCACAACCCTTCCAACCAACTACTATACGAACGCACAAACATGATAAAAATTTGCCACAACTGGACAAACAGCCCCCACAACTGGACCATACTGAATCCCCTTTGTATAACAAGACAGACAAAACACTCCCGTTTTCGTACCCCAACAAATACTTCTATATTAGACGTAGATTTGTAGGAAAAATTTGTATTTTCTCTTTTCTCATTCAATTTAATTTCTCGTTTTAACAATGATTCTTGTTTCTAATTAAATTTTATTTTAATTCAGGTGCGAAGTGGAAATTTGGTATTTTCGGCGTGTTTCATACTACTGCAAATTTCGCAAGTGTCGGTTTTGGGATGGTTTGCAAATGACATCAGAATGCAGGTGCAAAGAAACAGTTTTCAATGGCTAAGAAATTCTATGATATTTTCTCGTAGAGTCAAGCTACAGCTGATGTATTTTAGAATATGAATTGGCATTAAATTATTTATTATATCTAGACGTCAAAAATAAGAAAATGTTCCTTATGATGCTTACGCAATATCAGCATATTTCAGTCATTTCTATTGGACCTTTCGGACCGATGACTATTGACACCGTTATATCAGTAGGTGCCCAAATTCCGAAAATTCCACTTTTTAGGTTTAAATAACTTGTAGGTTATCACAGCTGCTTACTCTTACTTAAGTACATTTGATCCTGGACACCTAGTAAATATTAGTTGGAATGTACTTTAATTATCGCAATTAACTTTGATTTTTTGATTAGATGCCTAGTGGTTTATGGTAATGTAACCCAATAGTAATTTGATGTTTAAAATAGCAATTCGAGCAAACAGAGATAGGCCTCAGTAAATTTAGCAGTTGGCTCAGTGATGGGTTCTCTTAGTTGATGCTGATGAAGTCATTCAACTAGTTAAGTACATTTGATCCTGGACACCTACTAAATATTAGTTGGAATGTACTTTAATTATCGCAATTAACTTTGATTAGACGCCTAGTTGTTTATGGTAATGTTACCCTTAGATAAAGCTGAATAAAACTAGAACCAGCAATAGTAATTTGATGTTTAAAATAGCAATTCGAGCAAGCGGAGTAGGCATGGGTAACTCAGTGAATTTATCAGTTGGCCCAGTGATGGCTTGGTGCGTCTACTCAACGCACCGGCACGTCAACTCGCCGGAGCAGTTGCGTTGCAGCTACCCTTTTGGTAAAACTGTACTCATAAAGAATGTGGTGATCTATTAATTTTAGTGTTAAAATAAAATTTCGACAAAGAGGTAAAATGTTACTTCTAAAAGATGTCCATACCTTGTTTTGTTATGTTGTTTAATAAACGCCTAAACGAAAAATACTCTACAAGTTCAGAGGTATGCGTACAGTACCGAAGAGTGCGCTCTAAATATCGTCAAAATGTCCTTGTTGACAAATGTCCCTGTTAGAAAAATAGAAAGCCGCCCAAAATATTTCCAAAATTTGAAAATTCACACTCTACCAGTCAGTTGAAAAACATGGGAATCAAAGTTCTACATGGCAACCAGGGGCAAAGTAATGCTAAGCTTACCGAAAGCTGCATCCTGCCACTTGGAAAGAACGAAGAAATGTGTTTAGTACATGAGAAAATCTGTCTTAATTCAAACTTATTTGAAATAAACAAATCAAAGAGAGAGAAATATAAAAAATCCATGAAACTTCAGAAGTTTTTCTGAAAACTGAACTGAGTTCAGTATTATATTGAGTTGTTTTATGGTAGTAGTCCTGGCACTTAAAGCATAGCTGTATAGAACTGGGGAGCTGTTCCATTTAATAAATAACTTTCCGTTGTTAATCATTGTGTGCAACAAGTTAGGTGATGCTTCTTCAAATATGGTGTGTTTATCGTTCTGTTTTAAGTATGTGATAGTCAGGCTATCGTTATCGCCTTTAAATGTACGTCAATAAGCCAAGAACAACTCAAGAGTTAAAGAATAAGATAATTCGGCACATTTACGACATTGAACCTAAATTATGCTTAAATGTCATTGAACATATGGACCATCGGCTGAAGGTATACCACCGAAGCTGTGGCGAGCATTTGGCCAATATTCTGTTTCACACATAATTTTCATTGGTCTTTCTATCATAATAAAAAATATTGAGATAATTGTCTAACTAGTTTTTGTTTTATTTAGAATTAACATCGTGCATCTAGATTGAATCACATCGTGTTGAGGTTTACCAAACTTGGGGACCATGATGACTTCAGCTATTTTCCACATTGCCGGTACATACTTAATCCTGATTGAGACGATAAATAGATGTAAACGTCAAAATCCCCGTTTTTGGTAGTTGTTTCAGGATATGTCCTGGAATTAAATCAAACCCAGGAGCCTTTTTTGGCAGAAATTATTATTAATTTCTTCTGCTACTTCTTTCGGATCAACAGGAGCAATCATGTCGATCGAATTGGAGGACGAAATATTGTCTGCAACAGGTGGGTTATTGTGATGGTTGTATTGTATGTCGTTTGGTACAAATACGCCTGCCAGATATTCAGCAAATAGATCCGCTTTTTGTTGATCATCACGAGCCCAATCGCTTAGTCCCTTTCTAATAGGCGGTATTGACGCAACTGGTTTTCTAACTTCTTTTTTCTTCTTTGTAACCTTCCACAAGGAATATTCAGTTTCTTTATATGTTGATAAATTTGTAATAAAAGAATTTAGAGAGTTCCGTTTTAATTTGTAAATTTCACATTTTAGCTCTTGAGTTTGTCTATTGGATGATGTCTTATCGCTAGGATGACGTGTTTGTTGCCATCGTCTTTTGAGATGTGAGTAATTTTTTTGGTGTTTTTGTGAGCAACTGTTTGCAGCAAAGTCGTAAATTTTTCGGTTTCTATGTCGAGTTGGTCGGCTGTTTTCAAACTTACGTTCAACGTGATTTCGTCTTGTAGGTCAGCTGGTCAAAATTTAAAACTGAATTAGGTAAAAATAAAATCTTTAGGACTAGCACCCTTAAACGCTCACTAAATTGATAGTTTAAAACATAAAGAACCGTATGCATAAAAGATGAAACGACGTATGTAGGACATCCAGAAAAAGTTACTGTTTGGTGCGGTTTATGGGCTGGCGGAGTCATCGGGCTGTACTCCTTCGAAAATGAGATGGGCCAAGCAGTTACCGTGAGTGGTGTTCGCTATCGCAAGATGTCGCACTTTTTGTGGTCAGAAATGGAGGATATCCACCTGGACGATATCCGCTCCATTCGCCATTTTATGGAGATATGCGGAATTTATATGGCCTAGTCTCCTGTGCCATGTCTGAACCGTTGCTAAAACTGCGACAGGTGCTGCCAGTATCAAATTCTCTGCAGGTGTGTTCAATTTGTACAGACCATCATGCAGATCAGCCGTTGCAATTAATTCATTTTGTGCAGAGTATTCTTTACAAATATTGCTCTCAAATCTGACTGTATTACCACTTTTAATGATCTGGCTAACCGACAATAAGTTGGTTGTTAGTCCTGGAACACACATAACGTTTTTAACGGTAACATCTAAACACTGAGAATCTACTAATGTTTTCAATTCTACATCGCCTATATATTTAATATGGAGCTTTTCTTTGTTGGCTACCATAATCTCGGGGAAATCGGGATTAGCCTTGTTTATTACCCAATCTTCGTTTGTAGTAAAGTGACAACTGGCTCCCGAATCGATGTACCAATCTTTTCGGCTAAAGTTATAGCTGGAAAACACAACATTAAATAAGTGTTTATTCTTTTGTTGCATACCTGTGTGTTGTGTGTTTATCGTCATTGGGTTGCCTTAATTTGGGACACTGACTTCGAAAGTGCCCTTTTTCCTTGCAATACCAGCAGTTTACGTTTCTTTCAGAACTTGACATGTTTACATTTTTATTTCTATCTGATTTGTCAAAATTTCGTCTGTCAGACTTCCAGAAAGGTCTATGTGATGCCCCCTTTTGGTTGTAGATTGATCTATTGACTCCAAACGCCATACCGTTACTGCTAACTTCACTCTCCATATCAAGCAATCTCACCTTGATAGAATCTGTGGTTATTTTCTGGCCGCTGTTCTCCAGCGCCATTACCATCGGTTGATATTTTTCCGTTAAACCTGCTAGCATAATGGATGCCAAAAGTTCATCTCCAAGCCCGTGCCACTAAGTTTTTGTCCAATGTCCACGATTTTATTCACATACATTGTCATTGAGTCCGATTTTTCTAACCGAGTCGACATAAAATTTCTTAATAAACCGATTTTTCGCGTTTGTCCCGAATCGTCAAATAGTCTTTTCAGCTTATTCCACAGTCGTGGTTGTTTTCTTAATATGCACATATAACGATGAGTCAATTGTCAGTATTATTTTTGCCTTTGCTTGCGCATCGTGATCTTCGACCACACACAAGGAGTCGCTGGGCCCTGAGAACTCTGGTTGGGGTCCTGACAGGACACTGCCGTCTGAACAAATACCTACACCTACTTGGAATCGGGGTTACCCCGTATGTCCACAATGTGGTTCCAGACACAGAGGAACAAGTATTGGACATAATTACAGAAGAGCCTTTCAGGGATACTCAGAACATTGCACAACAACTGACACTTTCCCAGGCACCAAATAAATAGCGGCTACATTCCTACCACGTATGTACCGGTCTAAATTGAGCAGGAGTTAATTAACCGAATACGAAAAGCTGCTCAAGAAGAGTGCATAATAAGGTGGTTACGCCGGCACTTGTTTGGTGATAGAGACGCAAATGTATGTTGTTATAATTTGTAAACAAATTAGTAATTCGGGGTTATAAGTTTCGAAATAGGTTCCGTCATTCAACGATTCTTGTTGGATTTACCGTTTATCCTTGCCTATCTTATTGTCACTCTCCATGTATCCATGGCTACCAGAGTTTTAAATAATTACGAAGCAAAAGGTATTTACGTAATGTTAATTAGGTAGATTACTTTGAAAAACATTGTTATCGTTTTTCACAACACCTCCAGAGGAATGACGCAAATTTTAACTCACCCTGTATATCTGAATTATGGACAATACCCTCTGCAAAGTTTGTATATAATAACTGCAAAGTTTGTATATTATATAACATATATAAGTATGGCTGGGTCGATGAGGGGGACAAAATCCAAGGCCGATCTAGCCTCCGCTGACGTCATTACAACTGCAACTCCGTAGTGTGCTCTTCGTCTGCTCCTCCAGAATAATAAAGATATCCATCGTCTGTTTTTTGGGTGCCGAATCCCGGCCATTGTACCTCGCTCATGCCTAGGAGACTAATATTCATCTCAGTTTACCTACTGGTATTTTTCCACAATTTCAGTATAGCAAATAGTGCACAAAACCTGCAGCTTGTTTGCCGGAGACTCTAAATTCGTGAAATATTCCATATTCCCACGTTTTTATTTTTGATTCTATTTTATCTTCCTATAAACCTTTACAACATGTCCTCACTGATTCATTGAATTGCCACTTCTATGTCGACCTGAATTATTGGTAACAAATCCGCTCTAAATAAAACAGAGTCTTTCCCATGCTCTGGAGGTGTTGTCTGACGATGTTATAGTACTGAAAAATAGTAAAAAAAATTAGTTGTCATTAAAAACTGATAAATTTGCCAAAAACTATATCAGAAATACGGCAGCAATGTTTTTCAAGGTAATCTGTCTAATTAACATTGCGCATATACCTGTTTGCGCATTGCGCATATACCGCAATTATTTAAAACTCCGGTAACCATGGAATTATACAGAGTGACAATAAGATTGACAAGAATAAACGGGAAATTCAACAAGATTTGTCTTCACACTTACTTTCGAAATGTCAACCTGTTCTCATAACCTCGAACACCAAACATTTGAATGGTTAACTCCAAACAAGCTGGTGTCTGTGCAATTTCCTTATTATCCACTCTTATCAAGCAGTTTCCCGTATTCAGTTAATTAACTCCTGCTCCATTTGTATCTCCTTGTGCTGTGTGTATCGTACAAACGCGGTATGAATGTAGCCCTTCCTCGGTATTTATTTGGTGGTTGGGAACGTGTCAGTTATTGTGCTCTGAGTGCCCCTGGTG